GTTCATAGAGGGTGTGCATCTATTGTTTTTTTTTTTTCATTTTATTAGAGTTTTTATTTATTTTAGTAAACTAAAATGTCTTTTCAATTTTAGTTTTCATTGTTTAGTTAGTTTTAGTTAACTTTAATAGAGCTTGAAGACGGGCCGACGCTTCAACGGATGACCCCCTTCATCTGAGCCTTATTTCTAACGTGACCCAAATTTACAAGAACGGGAAATAAAACTTGAGCACTGCTTTTATAGCTTCATTAGAACAAACCCAGCAGATTTACAGACTTTTATTAAAATATCACTGCCTCAAGTTTGTGGGAAAGTTTGTAAAAAAATCATATTTTTTCAGTCTCTAAACGTGTAAACAGTTCAGGCCGTTTCTCATAAAGTGTTTATTTAAGGTCATCAGACGCAAACAGTTAAAATGCTCCCAATCTGCCGACTCTGGCTGGATTTCTCTCAATATTTTCTCACAGGACTCCCACTGAGAAAGCTTGTTTTTATACATTTTAAACTGATTTGGACAAAGCAGCTCATTTGAGATTTAATCTGTAAACTGGGTTTGGAGCTTTTCTCAGAAGCGGTGTTAAAAGTTAAAATCCTGGCAGCTTCAACGCAGCAGGACCAGATGGAGTCTCTTCTCAAACACTTCGGGACTTCTGTTCTGGACGGGAACCAAATCGAGATGAAGGTTTCACACGGCCGGACAATAACTTCTTGTTATCAGTTTCATGTGAATGCCTCGTAAAGTGTTGGAGCTAAAGCTGTTGTGAAGCTCTGCTCCTCTGTTTACTTTAAATGTCCTCAGCTTGACTCCAGATCATCACCACCTGTTTCCTCGTTTTCACTTCCTGCCACCAAAAGGTGACAACGATGTTTTTCCTGTGTAAGTGTCAAAACATCTCATTGACCTTTATTACCCAGGAACTTAAAGGGTTTGTTTAGAAGCACTTTGGGACAACACTGTCAGGAAAGCCTGAGAAGAAGATAGATAGAAACCATTAAAGAAAAAAAGAAGCAAAAACAGGAGTTTCCCCCACAAAAAAACCCCCATTGATCAAACTTTTTGAACTTCAACTTTGGAGAAAAAYGAGGAGATAAAATAATGAGTGAAAGGATGGAAGAGAAGAGACACACACACCCCTACTATGTCTCTCTATCCTTGTGTGGACTTTCCATTGACTTCCATTCATTTTTTTTTTTTTGAAATTTTATATCCTAACCCTGACCATTTACCCTAAAATTAACCTCACAGGTAACTAACCTGAACTCAGTTCACACCTTGGTCCTAAACCCCCACCCAAAATCAGCCTCCGAAGTCATGGGGACCGGGCTTTGGTCCCCACAAGGAGCAACCGGTCCTCACGAGGCTGCATTTTCCTGAAAAAATCGTCCCCACCAAGTAATAAAACCAAGGGCACACACACACATATCCTTGTATTGG